GTGAAGTCAGTGGTGTTAAATTAGATAGTATATAGTACTAGTAATAATCGATCCTAAAATGTAACCATAAATTTGTATTATATCAAAAATTAAGCTAATAAAAACCAACTGGCATTGTCACCAAAGTTCAAAAAAAAAAAAAAAAGTATATGAACTTAATACTAAATCTTTTAAAAATATAATATATTTAAATTAAAGATTTGTAAGTAATATAGAGTTAACATATTATTATATAAGGTCTTATAAGCTGATGTTTTGGCTTTTTCTTTTAGAAAATAACCAAAATAATAACAAACATTAGGATTTTATTATTTGTCTATTTGTGATAGCTTGTCTCAATTGTCTATAAGTTTTTTCAACCTTTTTATCTAAAATTATCTAATTATTTATATGATGGTGGTTCTACATCATAGCTAATTCATTAATTATTCTAAACTAAATACAAAAATAATACAACTTACCCAATATAACCAAAAATTTAACTATAGCATAGTCATAGACTAGGCGAAACTTTGACCCCTCTTAGCAAAATATGGGTCGTAGGTAAAGTAGCATAAGTCTCTAGTTTTCATAAATAGTTTATATAATATATCTGTAAATTGATATTCTTATGTAACAATAAATCAATGAAAAAAAACTGAGACAAGTCCTCGCTTTTTTTTTTTTTTTTTTTAAAAAAAAAAAGGTCACTAAGAGGGAATTTTCATAACAAATAGCCAAGTTAGTTTTTTACTATCACTATTAACAAAGGTTTTTTGAAAACCCCAAATTTTCATCTTTCGTCAAAAACCTATTTAATAATGCTACTAAGAAACTAAATTTGCGATTTACTATGAAAATTCCCTCTTGGCGACCTATAATCTTAAAATTCACACTAGATCTAAAAATTGCTCTATAGTTCCGGGCAGAATTATGTTGGTCGTGGTACGGAATTATTTTAATGCCGGCTAAATTAAACGGCTAAACGGTTAAATGATTAAACGATTAAGAAAAATTTCGGACAGTTCCAATCCCTAATCTAGAGTATTTTAATGCTTTCACAAAAATTTAAGATTTTTGCAAAGTATTCTTCGGTAAGGATGACAGTTAAAGGTAGTTAACTATCGTTCCGCAGGATAATGAATTTATTTGGAAACATAATAAGCTGCCTGGATAAAAATGTATGAATTTTGTAACACAGGCTATCATATAAACAAGATATTTTTACGTTGAGGGGTTAAAAATGGAATAATGATCCAAATTTGGACTTTGTTTGACAAAAATATTGGCGAAATCGGTATCGACATCGAATAGCGATAGCGATAAACAAAGCTATTTTATCAGACGCACAGAAGAAAGCCTCCAGTCATTTATATCGGATCTTTTATTGTACAAATATAACTCTTGTATAACTTGACATGCTTGATGTGTAATAGAAAATTTTGATGATTTTAATATTCTCTATGCTAGGTAGCCGGTGTATATTTAGAGTCTGCTTCTCTTGAAGTGTCATAGTTATAAGTGCTCTTCTAGAATAGTGAAAATTCGATAATTTAAGATTCATAAAAGGAATTTTAACAATGGTTAAAATGTTACAAAGATGAACCATATGCACACATAACTCTGATAATGATGTTATGACAAATTTACTATATAGTTAGTTTGAATATGGTAATACATGTAAACCCAAAATGATATGGCACACAAACCAATTTTATACGTAATTGCGTACTACACATATATATGTTTCGGAGAAGCTTACCGATGAAATTATAAATAAAGTTACGATTATGTATGAGAAACATTTTCTTTCACTATTTTGTTATTGTCAATTTGTTGTCAAGATTTGATCTTATGATTTGACATTTCAATTGCGTTCAACAAATAAGTATAATCGTTTAGAGTATTAAAAAAATGGAGAATGAAGATGTTATCGAATCAATCAATGATGACAAAAATGTTGTAGAAATGGATTTTGAATCTAGTAATTCCTTGATTGATAATTCAATTGGTAGTGCATCTATACCATTGCGTCATGATAGCATCGATTTTAATAATCATGACCAAGGTATAGCCGCGAATCTTGAATACATGAATCAATCGTATCAACAATCAAACCAACAATCGTCTGAATCTTCAACCTCTTCATCTCAGTCCAATACAACGAGATCTGGACTTTTAAATCGAGTTAGTGCTTATGTATCAACAACACTTCGTGGGGCAGATGATATCCCATCATCAGAAACAATAAGCGTAGTATTTCACGTACATCTGCCTCCTAATATTGAATATCATTCCGAACGAGCCATCCCATGCGTTGTTGGAAATATCGACGAGCTAGGAAAATGGGAATTTCCTATCGTGAAGCTTAAACAACCTTATAGTAGGCATATGCATAGAGTTTCCACCACTTATTGGGTTTCGGATCCGGTTACGATTCCAACTTCATATTTTGAAACTGGCGATGAGATAAGATATATTTATGCAATTTACATTGCTAAAAAACAGGAAAAGAAGAAAAATAAAGATAGGGACGATAGGATAGTTATGGATGACCCGAATGAAAATAGTGGTGACATGTATATTGAGTCCCTTGGAGGGAATCATCGTGTTCTGAGAAATCTTCTTCGTGAACAAAATCAATTTGATGTTGTGAATCAAATAAGAGTTGCGGGTAGTGATTATTGGACCAAAGCTGTCCATGATTTCGAATTTTTAAACTTTATCTGGCAATCACTTACACCTACTAACACTGGAAACAAACTATTTGAATATCGTATCATCTTGGATCAATTTCAGGAATATACAAGGCATGAAACAACTCAACGATTCATTGTAGATTGTTTACATTCAACCAAAGATAAAGAAAAAGAAAAAAGATTATTTTTATGTGTTCTTATAGGCTACTATATTTGTTTGCGCCAGGTGAATGTTATAAGTGATGTGAATTTACATCCAAATTTTCCTTCATCGGTATTCTTTGAATGCCTCAATAAATTTCAACCTGAAAATTGGTTGTCTGATACTCCCGAGGTTCTTTTGATTGCTATTCATGCGTTGATTCGTAATAATATGTATCAAGGCTCTATTGAATGGCTAAAAAGAATGTTTGCTCTTGCGCCTCTTGTGGATCCAGGGCATAGTTTTATTGATGTTGTTGCAGAAAGGAATATAAGCTTACAAGGATTGTTTGAATTTCTTCCTAAATATGTTACTCCACATTTTAATAAGATTGAAGATCCACGTGTATATGCAAAAGTTGGTGCGGTAAGTTTTCTATTCATATGTGATCTGTATACGTATTTGACTTGTCTTTGTATCTTTACAAATTTATAATTTGTTAATATAGTGGTTAATTCGGTTATGTAAAGACATGGATCAATTGTTTAGGATATGGGGTGAAGTAATCGATCATACAAAAGAAAGAGACAGATTACTTAAAAAGCCGTTTCTTGATCATGTTCATTACTTAATTTCGGATTTTACAAACGCGAGATCTTTAAAAAAGTATTTCGATAAGATCCCTGATCATTTTAAGAAAAAGGTTGATGAGGCATTTCGCCAAAAATCTTTTAAATTAATAAGCTCTCCAGCTTACAATTGGGAGAAACATGATACAGAGGAGATGCTTGCAAATCTGAAAAATCCCGAATTTAATTGGAATAAATCTGAATTATTTGAAGTACTCCATGAAATTTCTCAATCAAATCAATGGTTCATATTGTGCATGTTCTTAGATTTACTTAGTTATTGGTTTCAACTCGAACCGCAAGAAATACCTTTGGATAAGATTCCCGCTATTTGTGGTCAATGGTATCAGCATATATTGGATCATATTAATGGGAAGAAGGAACGATATGTCTATACCGTATTTTCTTATTTATCTCAAATATATCCAAGGGTTGAAGGACATTGGAACATTTTGGTTATATTGGTGGGTATCGCAATTGATAGAGTTAAGCAATGTCCAGAAGATAGAATTCTTAGTACAGTTCATCAAATTGACTTCCAACAAGATAATATCGTTCAATCATTTTTGCAAATGGTGAAAGATATTTTAAAACTTAGTATCAAAAATACAGACACGACTTTGATCAAAAAAATTAGGTTGATCTGTGATTGCAATTCTGAAGTTTTGAATGTTCCTAACGCGTAAGCATTATCATTCCATCAATTTATTATGTATTTTTTACCAATTTTAAAATGCTATTTTATTATATGTTATACAGTTCATGCGAGGCTATTTTACATTTTATAATGGATCGATTGAAAATTTTGCATCCATTATCGAACACTTCTGATTTGCACATAACGTCCACTACCTTAACCCTCCTTCGTTCTTCTCAATTCTGGAATTTTATACTACAAGCGACCGGAAAAGTCTCTGATTTGAACGCGCACCCATATATTCAACAAATAAAAGCAATATTAAGTGCGTTTATTAAAATTATTAAAAAAGATGCTATTACAATCAGATCTTTACAACAGCTTCTCAAGTATGAGGATGAAACGTTGATTAGATTCTTTAATTCAAATGATATAAAACAAGGATATATTAACAAACTTCGTATTCAATGTGGAAATTATGAAGAAAAATTAGCACAACTTCATTATTTTTATACTCAATTTTGTCCAGTTGAAAAAATTAAAGGTGTTGATGTTTATCTTAAAGACATGGAACAAAGATCAAAATGTGACACTTTAACTCTTCAAGAAACTCTAGCAGATAATCACTGGGAATCTCACAAGATTACTGAAAATTCTGCGAAAATAACATATAAATTAGCAAATCTTCAAACATTCAGAAATATATTTAATCAAAAGATAAATAGTGAAGAAGAAATTAATATTGAAGAATTGGCACAAAATATTATACCATCACTTGCCAAAATATATGAACAAAAGATCATGAAATACAAAACCAATGAATGGGAAACCCTTTATTGCATTGAAGAAAGTACATTTTGGCATAATGTTAAAGATATTAAAACAGAGCTTGATTTGATTAATTTGAAAGCGGATAAAAAGTTAATAAAAACTTTAACTTATGTATCAAGGTATCCTATATATGTTGAAAGACTTCAACAATTGAATGAGGTGGTATCAATGTTTAAGGTAACTCACACAAAAGAAGATTGGATTGAAACGCAGCTTACACTTTTAAATGGAAACTATTTATGGCTTGGAAGACTTAATGATTTCTTTGAATATCATGATCGGTCCTTATCTTCAGTTAACGAAAATTGCTGGGAATTGATTAAATCATTATCGCTTGCCGATGAATTTATTCGATTCCTTCAGTCTGTGGCGGAACATGATATAACCAATATAATTAATGGTGTGGATAATCAATCTGATGAACGTCTCATTCAAGAAGATACAGTTTCTTCATTAATTCAAGTTAAAAAATTCTTATTACCATTGTTAAAGAATGTAGAAAATTTAAAACCTAAAACATTTTTGAAAAAACTCTGTGAAATAACAGAGCAAAATCCAGTATTAGGACAAAAGATTACTTTGTGTAATAGTAATAGAAAAGCATTAGAAAACATGTATAAAAATATTAATAATAGAACTGAAGTTACTCAAGAAAGAATTATTAATGCAGTTAAGATTGGAACATATACATTTAAACGAATTAGTAATGATGATAAATGCACTGCTACTTTATCTTATCCTATCAACTCCTTTTCAGCTAATTCTGACTCTATGGACGATAAAGATGAGCCTAATGAAAAACCGTACACTTTAAATGATTTACAAGATCTAAGAGGACGCGCTTTGCTAATAGCTAAACCTGGTGTAACTATAGATATGGAAATGCCTGAAAAAGAGCAAGAGCACCAAGAAAGGGCTAAAAAAATAATGAACGAATTTGTGATCCAAGTAGATTTTACACAGGAGATTATAAATGTTGCTTCTAAATTAATTCAGATAGGTCACTTTAATTATAGAGATTTTAATAAAAGTGTTAAAGGAATCGAAAATATGCAGAAATTGTTAAATGAATTAAATGAACATCTGGTTGAATGGTAAGTTCCTAAATTGATTGTATTCTTTTAATGTTTAAAAAGGGTTATTTATCATTTATATTGTATTTTAGGGAAGGTATTGTTGATATGGCACAAAAAGAACATTATTATTTGACCTTCTTCCCTGCACGCCACATCTTGGCATTTCATGACTACTTTAATGACAATGCCAAAGATAAAGCTGCAAACAACGAAGAATGTCAAATACTTTTAACATTTGTGAACAGTGCTGCTCGATTACCGCCACCAAGATCACAAATGCAAATGGAAATTATTGATGATACTCATGATAATACTAATGATTATTATAGTACTCTGTGTAGTATAGGGTCCAAATTGGCGGATATATTTGAGAGTATTCCCAAACAGATACGAGAAATCAAAGACACGGGAGAACGCATAAAATCAGATATTGTCCAACCTGGAAAATTATTTGTGGCCGCATGCAGTAATAAATCTCTTGTGCCAAATATCATCATGTCACTGTATGCCAACCATAAATCTTATCCTCAGCCGTGGCAAATATTGATATGCACTCCTTCAACGACTATGGAAGAACTTTCTATTTTCACTAAACGATGTTTCTTTGCGCCTGATCGTGGATATGAAGGCCATTTATTCTGCATCGCTAATTTAGAATTAGTGGATTTTGAGTTGCAGTATAATCTTGTTAACAAGATTAGATCAATGAGCCGGATGACAAATATCAAAGATAAATATCTATTGGCGCTTATATGTTGCAGAGAATCCGAAGTTCAACATCATATATTGGATCAATTTTCTCAGGATATTCATGTAACCAATGGACTTGATGTAGATTCTATGAAAGGAATATATCAAGAGTTATGTCCAGATGTTAGACGTGTATCATCAGAATTATCAGGACAGGGTAAAACGGAATGGATTAAAAATGCTAGTTTTGATAAGAAGAAAATTCCTCGTAGTTTTCTAATTAGTGATGGAGTTGATTTTAGAACACTTGTTAAGCGTTTAAAAGAACATAAGATTAGACCAGTTGAAAGTTTGCATTTAAATATAGTATCTGCAGATAATCCTGGTGATGTTAACCTATTCTTATTTGAATTGTTAACTTTAGGAATGGTTTCTAATTATACGGATATAGTTTGTCTTCCCAACACTCCTATTTTCATTGAGGTTGCAACAACTGTTGGACAGTATTTACTCAAATCTTTGCCATTTGTCGAATGTCTTTCCAGCGAACACATAACTTGGGATATTGTTAATCTTTCTGTATCTCAAGAAATTGATAACCCAATTCAAATTGTTTGTCATTATTTAGAAGCGGATGAAAAATCAACAATTGAAGAGAAAGATCTCTTGTTCAATACCATTGGCACTGATATCACGGTGCCACTACCGGAAAGTCGTTGTAGAGAACTTATCAAAAAATATTTGTTTGACGATAAAGATGATAGTGATATTTCATCATATAGATTTGTCGAAATTTTTATTAATGTTTTGGCAAATCAATTAATTGGACTATCTTTAAGTTCCTACTTCCGAGTTGATAATTTAAAATTAATGACTAAAGAAAAAGACATTAGAAAAACTTTAGTCAATACATTACTTATTGCCTCCAAAGATTTTGCCACACGTTCAGTAAAGACCAAAGCGGCTCAATTAGAATCTATAACACCTTTAAATGATGATAGATTGGGTACAATTGTTCAATGGGAAGATTCAAATCATTTATTAGTGTTTTTCTTGTCTCAAGCACCGGATTCTATTTGTGCTTTATATCGTAATGCAAAAAAAGTACCAGACAATGTAACAAAATTATTACAAAGTCAATGTATAAGTGGTGATTCTAAAAACTTTAAATTGGAAGATTATAATACGATGGAGATGAAACTTTTGCTGAAAAAATTGGAAAGTTTGGCAAGAAAGACTACACATGAAATTAAATATCCTCGATATGCTTTATCTGCAGATAATTTAATTAAGATGGCTTTAATTTTATTAAGAGCTCGTGCTAGTATTCCGGTAAATCATCACGTCAATTGAAATTACTATATCGAAATTTTATTTTAACCCTGATTTGTATTAGGTGGTCGTTTGCGGTGAAGCCGGGTGCGGAAAGGTAATTTATTTTAGCTCAATAAATAAAGGAATGCTGTTTTTTTATTGACACCAAGTAATTAAGTTAAACAACCCGTGATTTAAGTTCGTAATGAATTTTTTTGTTGCACAGCTTTAAAGAATTCAGGATCACAGGGTGGCAATAAAATAACGCCCACTAAATAAAATTTAATACAATAACTTGTTTATTCATTTACTAAAAGAAGTCCTATATAATTATCTGCTTTTTAGACAAGTTTAATTGGATTTTTAGCCGGGGTAGTTGAAGTCAAGTTTCATGCGCTGAACCTACACGCAGGTATTTCCGAAGAAATCATAAAATCTTTCATGACAATGATTCAGGATGAATCTCAAGAGAAGGAAACTTGGATATTTTTCGATGAAATTAATACTTGTAATCACATGGGACTTCTATCCGATCTCATAGCCCACAGACGGTGGTTAGGTAAAGAAGTCCATTATAATATTCGTGTTTTTGCTGCTTGTAATCCTTATCGTAGACGTACTAAAAGTCAGAGTAGTGTGGGATTAAAGGTACAGCAAAAGATTAAATATGAGGAAAGAAATGAATTGGTTTATCAGGTCAAACCATTACCAGATCAAATTCTTGACTATGTTTGGGATTATGGAATTCTTCAAGCTCTTGAGGAAGAAAAGTATATTCAGACAATGGTTTCTGAATCATTAGGAGAATATGATGATAATAATATATTTGCAAAATTATTGGCTGAATCACAACGATATATTAGATACATCGAAGAACCTTATAGTGTTAGTCTAAGAGACGTGAAGCGTGCAATAACTCTAGTAAAATTCTTTGCAAAAGGTCTCACGAATCGTCCTCCGATTCGAAGAAAAAATTTACCTCCATATCCTAATCCAGCAGATGGTGTTAAACTTTCGATTAGATGTTATGTATTGTCATTAGGACTCTGTTATCAGTGTAGGATGTATGAACAATCTATTAGACAAACGTATAGAGAAAAAATGGCTAGATTATTACTTACTAATGGAATTCAATTTGATGAGGTTAAGTTTAGCACTATTATTAGACAAGAGCAAGAAGATTACATTAATAGAATGATTTGTCCACCAAATACTGCACATAATGAAGCACTTTTAGAAAATGTTTTGGTGATGATAGTTTGTATTTTAACAAAGATTCCTGTATTTATTATTGGTGCCCCTGGGTAAATATTATTCTATAGATTTCGTATGATTAATTATAGTAAATTAATCATGCCCTAAATACATTACCATTTAGCTCCTCAAAATCGCTAGCAATAAGACTTGTAAGTCAGAATTTGAAAGGCTCTGATTCAAATGACAAGTACTTTCAGGAGTTGCCGCAGGTATTTATGTATTGCTTCATTACATGTGTGTTACAACAACATATTAATTCTACAAAATAATTAATAATTTATAATGTATAATTTATATAGGTTTATTTAATCCCTTATCAAGGTTCATCATCTTCAACATCTGATGGTATCATCAAAGTATTTGAAAAAGCTGTTAATTATCAGAATACGAGTTCTAAAGAGTTTAAAATAATTAGCGTGGTCTTACTTGATGAAGGTAATATTCTTTTATATTTATCAGAATGTAGAGGTGAATAGGGTATTTTGACGAATCTGCGTATTTAGTATTCCAGTTGTCAGATTTGTGCGATCTTTACATAACTTTATTCTTTCTATAATAGTAATTTAACTCTATGAGAGAATTGATCGTTCCATCATGAGATATTTCAATTTGTCACAATACCTATATTTGTCATAACGCTCTTATCAATTTTCAAATGGGATATCTCGTGGCCCAGTAATCTGATCGAGAATACGGTTCCCATCAGAGGAATCAAACTTTCGAATCGGATCATTTGATCACGAACTAATTTGCCAAAATATCCCATGTTTCTTGTATATTTTTATCATTATTACTCAAATGAATTTCCATAGTAGCATTTATCTCAAATTGAAAAAATTGCTTATATAGAAAGTAAAAATTTTAAACAATGGATCACAAATTATTTGAGAACTTATGGCGGGTCTGCTCTATAGTTAAATTACCTTGATAATGCGGACGATTTAATAAACCCGGGTACAATCTCTAGTCTGCACTGCAAGTTAGAGGACAATTATAAAACTTGCACTTGATGAGTCGATTATGTTTGCTACTTTGTCAAACTACTCTTATTCATCTTATATTTTTTTTATATATGTATTATTTTAAACATCAAATTCTTTTAAATAGTTGGATTGGCCGAAACAAGTCCATTCAATCCCTTAAAAGTTCTTCATTCATTACTTGAACCAAGCTATCCTTCGGATGGTCCTACCGTAGCTTTTATTGGTATATCTAACTGGAGATTAGATAATAGCAAGAGTAGTAGAGCTTTATTGGTTCAAAGGTTTGTATGTCTTTCTAGTTTTTAGATTAATGATGTGTTGCACTGATATTAAAAAATATTTGTTAGACCGAAATTTGACCTAGATGACCTGATAGACACAGCAGTTAATCTACTAGGCTCAAAGACCAATCCTGGCGGTTCTAAGATAACAAGCACCTCTCTTAAACCACTCGCAGATGCTTATTCATCTTACGAACAAACTGGACAACAGCTTCCTAATTTCCATGGTCTTCGTGATTACTACGCATTAGTAAAATCATTATCTTTGGCTGAATTAACACCTCAAAATATTCAGAAATCCTTAGTTCGAAATTTTGGTGGTACAGATCCGGAACAAACTCAGAAATTGTGTGAGCATTATTTTGGAGAGGTATTTAGATTATCTAACGATGCCAAGAATTGGGAATATACTCCTATTCCGGTCGAAGAGTTGATTAATGCGAATTTGGATGATGAAGGGGCAAGGCATCTTATGGTCATTGGAAAAAGTGATTCAATTGTTAGTTTGTTGACTTATCAGTTGAGGAGTAGAAGCTTAGATCCTGTCATTATCTTGGGGTCTCAATTCCCTGATGATCGAGACGACTATTCTTATAGTGTGTTAAGCAGAATTATGGTGAGCCTTAACTTTAATATAATATACATGTCGACATTTTTTAATGAATAGATTTTTTGTAGATGTGTGTTGAAGCTGGAAGACCATTAATCTTGACAGACTTGGAAATTATTTACGGAAGTCTTTATGATCTGTGGAATCAAAACTATATTGTTGTAGGTAGTGCAGACGATCCAAAATATTATACTAGAGTGGCACTCGGTGCTTATGCGAATCCTATGCTGTAAATATATTAACATTGTGTATTCTGTAGTTTCATATAACTTATTGAAAGATACTAATACGGATCAATATATCACATTTATACATTTCTTTCAAACGCCTAGTTTTGTCAATAAAACATTTAGATGTATTCTAGTACTTGATGAGAAGAAACTTGAGACAGCTGATCCACCACTTCTAAATCGGTTCGAAAAACAAAAAATGACAATCAACAACATCTTAACACTTCAAAATATTCAGATAGTTGAGCAATTATCTACATGGGTAACTCAAATGTCAAAAGTATTTGGTGGCCCTAACTCGGTCATGCCAATAATGGAATTTAAACAAAAGGATCTATTTATTGGATTTGATCCTGATGAAACATTACAAAGTTTAGTGATTGACATTACTAAGAGATATCCGGATAGTGATGATGTAGATATCCTTCAAAAGTGTAAAGAAAAACTGATTGCAATTGCCTCAAGTGATGGAATTATAAGGGCAGAAAAATCAGGATTGGATGCAGATGAAATTATGTTTTGGAAAAATACTTACTATAATGGCCAATGTCATAATGATCTTGCAACATATATTCAATCTTCTCTAGATAAATTAAAAAATGAAAATTATTCAGAGGGACTTCAAGTTATCATTAATACATTCTCCAACATTAACACAGATGTAGAAGCTTGTTTGAAAGACACAATCAGTTGTCAAGTGGATAAACTATCGACATTCAAAACGGAAGCACAGCTTCAAAATAGAGTTAAACATTTCTGGCTAAATTCTGCAACTGAAATGTTGATTCTCCAATGTGATGTTACGACGATAAGTGCTGGATGTATTAAATTAGCTAAATTTATAATCGAACAGTTTAAAAACGATTATGTAATTAAAAAGAAAACACGGCCTGAATTAAAGATGAAAACAAAACATTCATGCATTATATTGCATGTTCATAGAGAGCAAGAAAATTCATTGGCAACATTTAATTTTATGTGCGGATGGGATCAAATAACGATCGAAACACTATCCGAACAAGAAATACCTTTATCAAAACTTTTGGATCGAAGTCTGAATGATGTTATTAACACTACTTACAAATTTGAAGATATTTTGAAACAAGAATTATTATGGTGCTTGTTGTGTATGAAATATCCTTCGAATATAAAATCCATTGAGCATATCAGGTAAATTTTCTTTTTTAATACTATTTTTTTTATTGTATATCTTTATTTATAACGCTATTCCAATATTTCTGAAATTATTAAATTAGGATCCTGAGCTCAGAAATTTGTAAACATCCAACTCTATTGGAGTGCATAAAAGCATGCACCCAACAATGGCTTCAAGAAAAGGCACCTAAAAACTGGCAATATGATGTAGCATCCAATAAGAAATTATTATATAGGTATCCATCATTTTTAGCAGCATTACAGGCTTATGTCAAAGGATTTGTCAGAAGACCAATTGCAAAGGCTTTATGTGCACTTGAAAGATTCGCAGCTACCAAAACTTTCTTCTTAATAGATAAGCCAAATATATCAGATGAAGATAATTATTTGCTCAATTTTTGGTTAGAAATGTTTAATGATAAAAAAATAATTAATATCGAAGAAATTTCAGAGCCATCACCAGATTTATATACTATGCCTCTAGGAATTTACAATCTACAATTTCCATTTTCTTATTACTTCATGCAACAAATTGATAATTTTAGACCAATTTATCAGGAAGAAATTAATATATTATACCAAAATCCCGATAACGTTAGCAACCTATCTGGTGAACTCGAAGATTCTGTGATTAATGAATATCTTAAAAATTTCACTGAAAAACTCAGAGCGGAAATTCCTTTATTAAAGACATCACCATTGGATAGAGCATCAGATTTATATTTCAAAGATTTCGTTTCGGTTATAGCATGTAATGAACCTGGTAACAAAGATCCTGAATTATTAGGATCAATCTTTGAAAGAAGACTTGGAAAAGAAAAGGTTTTGAATCCAATAAATTTACACACTTATTGGTGGATTCATGGAAATTCCATAATGGCAGAATTACAACTAGCTCAAATATGCCCAACAATAGCTCCAGAATTAAAAAACAAATCCGGTGACGCCATAACTCTAGTTAAAGAGGCAATAGAAATATTATTAATCAAAATTAGCAAAGACACAAATGTGAATGAAGCTTACGAACAAAAAGAAGTTAATCAATGGAAATATGAAGCAACTAAAGTTCTTTCATTCAGTAAAGAAATTCCGAAAGCTTCAACATTAGGATCCCTTCAATTATTACAATTTTGTAACGATTTACTCTCCATCAAATCAATCAAACCACATAGTATTTCAAGGATTATTTCTCTTGCCCAAAATTCAGCGTCAATATTGACGGTAGAGGCCTTGAATGTTTTATTCGATGTTTTAGATGAAATTGAACCGACTGAAATAAATTTGGTGTTTAAACGAAAAATTATTCTAAGATGCCTTGATATAATTCCTCTAGAATCAGATTTACGAATTTGGCTTTATCGAAGGTTGTTTGCAAATCAACCATTCCCACTTATGGGCATAATTATTCAAAAAATTTTTGAAACAGAAAAAACAGTACACGAAGGTATATTTTTCCAACTTATTAAGGGCCAACCAGGGATTCTTACTTTTTATCCTAGACTTCAAGAAATCGATAAATATCTTACAGACCTTGACTTAAAAATGGCCACCTTATGTTGTGATATCATTCAACATTGTTTTTTTGCAAAAATGACTATAGAAAAATTAATATCCTACTTCTCTCATGCTTTAAGAACATTATGTGAAAAAGAAATACAACCATTGCAACGAATCTCGGCTGTTGCGTTCTTAAAAGAATTTGTTAGAATGTTTTTTGATGTAGTCATCAATGATGAAAATGCCTCTGTTGCATATCAGCTTGATGGTATCCAAGGGATTAACGGTACCAACTTTTTACATAAAATCATTGAAGCATTGAAAGTAGAGCATCCGTTAATATATTCGTTAAGAATATATTTCCTTCGAGATTTAAGAAGACGTGGATATTCATTCGATGATGTAAGAAGGTTTTGTAAGAAACGGCCTGATGAATTGCCTTGGCTCATTAATTTTTCTTGGGAGTCTGGTGACTCAACAAGATTTCCATTTAATCCTTATTGGCATCTTTCTGAATATCCAGAAACCGAAATCGCAAATGCTAATATGCGTAGAATTGGAAATAAAGTACAGATCGATGACTTCCTTAAAAAGGTCGATAAAGGATCAATAAATTCACGATTATCTCTTATCGGATTGCTTGTCATGAAACTCCATGCTGTTAGGGCTTCACGTGAATGGGATGAAAAAGAAAGAGAGTTATCTATACATTTAAAATCAAAAATTGATAACATGACAAGTCTTCCAGATGCTTACAGACAACTGGTTGCCAAAGTTTTAGAAAATACCCACAATTTATATAAGATTGGAACTGACACTACAAGTAATGACTTAATCATGAAGTCGGTACTTATTTATATAGTTGGACTACATGCTTCTATGAATTCCGATTTTTCACCCTTGACTACTTATTTGCAAGAAATAGAAGGATGTAGTTCCATGTTTATCTTATCATGCCAATCAGATGAGGAATCTGCTTTGTTCAATGCGGTTGCTTCTATGGGAGGTGTGTCAAGGTAAAATTTAATTATATTTAACATATCGATATATACCAAAATTTATTATAGTAATAAAAATATTATTGTTTATGTGATAGATATCAATGCCTATGTGGTTTTAAATATGTAATAGGCAATTGTGGTGGCGCAATGGTAACGGCGATATGCCCTGGGTGTGGAAATACGATTGGTAAGCTCGATAGTCAAAAATGCTTAATTATTTTGGAACACTGCAGGATGTATAAAGAATTATTGAGCACGTGATATATAAAACGTTTAGATAATTCTTTTTGTTTTCTGTGTTTCTGTTGTGTTCATCATTTATTAAACAACTCCCGTTTTATTAGGCGGAAGTGGGCATCGTGCCGCACCTGGCAACACACGACTTGATCAAGACATTGTCCTCTCAGTGGTATCAAATGATCAAGCAGGATATGTTTCAGATAAACCCGAACCTTCACAACAACATTCTGTTCGAGCGATGTGTCCAACTTCATATCGAACTTTACATTTGATAGTTCATACACTTATCTTAGCTTCAACACCATCAGAGGCCACAAATAATTTCTTTAAGCAAAATGGTAATACTTACGAAGATGTTACTGACTATTGTATAAAACATATTGAAAATGATTGGGCTGTTTTAAAGAAACTTCTTAATATTTCTGATGAGAATTTAGCACTATTGTTCCATTCTATACTGGTCGAGATGATAAATAACCCAAATCATTCTAAACCAAGCAGTTTGTTTACTTCAGACGCAAGACAACATTGGGAAACAAACTTTGCTCGAAATTATGTTACACCATTGATTAATAATGTCACCCAAACCATTAGAAACTTTAGCACTTCGTTGAGAAATGCAATGAATGCAGCAGAAGTATCTAGTAACATTCTTGATACAGAAATTAGTCAAACGTTAGATATGTCCCCACAACATTGTAAAGAATATCTTCCTGGATTGTGGAGAACTCTTGGAACAATTTGTTTTGAAAATCTTAATGCTTATTACTCTAGAGATATGCATCATAATGTTCAAGCATTTCCATTTTTGGCAGTTTACTTCAAACATGAAAAGAATTTGTCGCAAATCAAGCATCTTTATCCTATTGTTAATTTCATTAAAATATTACATTCAAAACTTGCCTATAGATTGCAAAGGGAAAAGGCAGTTAGTTATACTTTCAAAGAATTTATTGATGAATCAAAGAATGAAACAATGTTTGATACTTGCATAACCCTAAATACTTCTTTTGAGGAGTTTGCTAATGCTTGGAATGCGGTTATTGACAATGTTACTCGATATCAGTGTCATGAACTACCCAGGCATCCGCAAATTACGATTAATGATTCTGTGACGTTCGGTTTAATGGAGGCTAGGGATTCTGGTGTTTTCTTGTGCGCAATTATAGATTATTTGGTCAATTTACATAATAATTTCTTGGAGGAAGTTATAGCAATTCCAGAAAGATCTTGTCTTTCTCTAAAATTCTTAGAAGAAGCTACACCTTGGGTATATGAAGAAATTGTTACTTCAACTCAGGTTAGAGTCACAAAAGCCACAAATCCTTATCATATTCCGTCAAGGCGTTTGGATTCAATAAAACGATCAAACATTGTTAATTATGAGTGGGATAATAGGATACTTCGGTACTGTCAACATAACCTTGAAATTGGGCAAGGTGAAGATATAATGTTCGATCTTCAGGCTATAGAAATGGAACTTGCTCAAACTTTAGTCTCCGAAAAAGCTTATATTGAAAGAAACGGTGACCAACTATTAATGGATAAATTCCCGTATCACTTAGAACTATTCCAGAGTTCAATGAGAATTTTAGGTGAAATTAAAGAATTAATTCCACAAGAACCTATTCCTAGTGACAAGATTTCATTAATCTTTGAATCCGCTTCATCAGCACCTTTAACATCAAATCCATTTAAGAATGCAAATATTTTAGCCATGTATTCAATAGAAAATGCAACAGAATTACTTTCATTCTTGGAAATATTTTTATGCTTCATCAAAAGAATCTCAGCTGATAATGGTGAAACTCTCATGAAAGATTTTGTAAATCAATGGTTAAAATTATCAAACTTGATGGAAAATATTGGTTTTCAACATATTTTAAATCTCGAGCTGAAATTAAAACATGTAATTTCCTTATACGAATTAGTTGAAAATCAAGTCGCAAACGAAGAAATTAAATACCTTAATACTAAATATAAGAAATCACTAGATGAAGACATGAAAAATCAAATTTTAGAAGCTATTGATTTCGAACAAAATACTGGAGAACAAAAACCAAAGATACCAGCCGAAGAATTCGTTATTGCTCTTAAGAGATATATGCAAAGATTCTTGTGCACAGATAATATTAAAGCAAGTGATCCATTGAACATTTATGTTAACGATATGAGTCTGAATTTATGGCCCGACAGTGTCTCCGATGAGTTATTGGATGATGTTTTCCCGGATTCATTGTTAGTAGAAAATACATTCGAGGCATATGAATTTGTTAATAATCTTATTATGGTAATAATTCATTTTCATGTTTTTTTTAAAAAAAAATTTAAATATTAATATCTTTTTAAAAATTACTAGACGGACCAACAATCACTTCCTGCAGTTAAGCAAGTCACTCCAATAGAATTAGATAACTCTATGGAATTAGATCATCCGGGAGTGGATTATTCAATGGATTTAGATCTTTAAATCTACGATAGCACGATTTGTCCGTTTCAGAGATGCTATGAACTAACTTCACCAAATTTCACTAATTCAACACCAGTTTCACCAATAATGGTGAAAATTTTAATATATGTAATACACGTAAATTTAGGTATAAATTTTTGTTTACCAATTTTTATATCTTATTTTGTATTGTCAACTATTTATGTTTGTATCCAACAAAGAATAATAAATATACTCTATTCAAATCAATTATCTTTTGCTCGTTATATTAAGGAATTTTGTTTAATAGTTATTTAAATCAATTATCTTTGGCTCGTTATATTAAGGTTGTTAGGAAAACTAAACAATGAATTTTGTTTAATAGTTACAAATCCTTTTCTGAATTCTATACTTTTAATTCACCTTCGTTTGTATATAGAGTTTTTTAATTGATTTGATTTGATTAATTATCATGACTAAGAAATCTACACGTTCTATATCATTTAGTGGTAATGCAACAAAAAAAATTTTAGATCGTATTATCTTTTGCAATTCCGGGCGTATCCGGATATTTATTTTATTTTTTTTTATTCGTTAATAGTAATATTTCATTAATAAAAATTTTTTTCTATCTAATTATTTTCGGCTCTCATCATCTGGTGTAACCGCCCGGCCCTAATTACATCATGAATTCGTTCTAGCATTGAATGAATCAGCCTTGTGCAGGTTTCACCTGTCAGACCACCTGAATCTTTTTTCAGAGGTCTTTTTCACTTGAAATTTGACTAGAAAGATCTCTGAGATAACGATCAACTTCACATCATGGATGTTTAATGATATCAGTCAAAGAACTAAATATTATTTCTTTTAACATTCCATCAAGATTAAATAAGAGCAACTGTTAAGGTTACACAAATCGCAGATCACTTCTGTTAACCTCCTGTCTTCTATTAACAAATCAAAACCTTGCATTTCAATTATTAATTTTTATAATAAATTTAAAAATATTTATGTATTATTTAATAAAATAATTATGTAATAATTATGTATATATCTTAAATAAATTTACAAAAAAATAATTTTTTTATTCTTTAATTGATTTTTTTTTTTTAATGTTAAGGCGAGTACTTGCAATCCAAGATTTTATTAATAGTATATTTCAACTAATAGTTGTTTTTTTTTTATTTAAATGAGTGGTTAATTACTTAGCCAAATTGGCAATTTTTGTTAGTTAGTAATATCTTAAGTATATACATAATTTGTAAGAGTACAGTCAGTTACTTGTATAATTTTAATCATTGTCTATTTAAGAATTCTGTTCTAAAGATATCTATTATTTACTATATGTGACTTTTACTTGTAGGTACTCTATTTAAACTTTTTGGCTTATCTAATCAGTACTTGTATAACTCTATCTATTTTATTCTAAGGTTAAATAACTCTGTTACTGTCTTCTATTAAAGATTATTTAGATTTAATTTTATTTTTTTTGTACTAGTACTTAGGTTGTAATAAAGTCTGTTTTCTAACAATAAGATACAAGAAGTCTTTCTGTTAATTTATCTATTTATTCTACAAATCTTAACAGGATTATATTTTTGCAAAGTTCATCTAGATTCTAGTATTATTTTATAGTATATTTCTAGTATTTTAATATATTTTTGTTTTTTGTTTTCAGTTTTTTAATTTTGATAGTTTATATAAAATTATAACTAATTCATTAGTATATTAGGTTAGTCTGATATTTTTTTTTTTTAGTCTTTTTGGTTAGAATTCTGATAATTTTGTTGATGATATCTTCTACTCAGAGATTTTTATCTATTTAGTTTTTTATTATATTAGTATTTATTTTCTAAATATAGTTTTTATAATAGTACTAATAAAGATTTATATTATTATTTTATTTAAGTGGGGTGTGGTAATCTAGTAAAGTGAATAGGTTGTCAACCCTTAAGTGGCAGGTCTAAGGTTCAATTTTTATGAATAACGAATTTTAAAAATTATAACTATGTTATGATAACTGTTTCTTGCTGATTGGTTAGATTTTGGACATCTGCAATCTTAAGTACACCAAGTCAGGCCTCACCTGACATTGGAAGCTTGAAACATCTATGTGATATGCAACATTACATATACATAGAGAAATGTGAAAAACCAATGTCATATAAGGCTTTAGTGCAAACTTGTGATAAGACTACCAGACATAAAAGGCTAAGAAACCAAAGAGATAGAAACCTATTTGGAAATTCCAAGTAAAGAGGTAGCATAAACATTCAATAATGACATTGGACTGATGGAAACCTATAAAACATCTTCATAGGAACTGTCAGATAAACTGGATAACAAAATATATAAAGGAACATATAACCAACCAGGCTGCTAGAATTATTAGAGAAAAAAGATACATAAGTATATTATACCAGGTTATCTGGATTGAAAGTCTGGAGAATCAGTTAGTTCCAAGTTGTGACTAGTAAGAGATGATGGAAAAGAAGTCAGAAAGATGGGTACCAGGGTTTGGGTAAACTTTACAAGAATAATAGCAGTTTAAGAGGTAACCTTAACTGCAAGTGTTGGTTTTGGTCATAGTATCAAACCAGATTAGTGATAAAAGAGAATATGGCTCACTCTGGTAGGTTTATCTTAAAAAAAAAAATAGTCTAAAAATTATAGTCCTATGATTAAAAATGAATAAATCTGGGTCTATGATCTAGTGAAATTAATACTAGAATCAGATCAGAGGGTTTAAATAAAACATCTAAGTAGAGGTGTTAGATACAACAACTGATAAGGAATCTTCAGACAAGCTCCTTAAATAGATAATATAGAAAAGTTACATATGTAGCCAGTTGTATACTTATCTGATAGTTCATTATAGATATGTCTATATAAAACATGTACCTAATATAAGTATTAATAAAAAGCTATGATCAAAGAGATCATCTTAATACTGAAAAAAAAATTTATTTTATTTAAGTTTTTCTAAATAGGTTTTTTATTATTAATTTTAACAGATTTACATAGTTATAAGGATTTATTTTAGGTTTATATCACTTAATATTAATTTATATTCTTTCTATATAATTAACTATATAGATATCTTATAATTTGTTGGTTATATTAATATAATTATCATTATAAGTACAGTTAAACCTCTCTATAATCACACTTTTGGTTCCAAAAATTTGGTGTTTATAAAGAGTTTGTGCCTATATAAAAGTTAAATTTTATAAGTATTATATAAGTTGCTTTTAAAATTTTATATGATTATAAGTTAATATAATTATAAATAAGATAACTATAGAGAGGTTTGACTGTATTTTAATTTAATTGTTAGAAACAATTATTATAACACAAATATAAATTTAAAATTTTGTTATTAGTAGTTTTTGGATTTTCAATTTATAATTTGAAAGAGTAACAACTTGTTTACTTCATTAAGTCATTATACTCTTAACAAATAATTATTTGTATAACTACAAAGTAGAGTTTAGAACTGATTTTATTTTTCTTATGTTAAAACCAGTTTTAATTGAATTTAACATATGAAAAATAAAACTGGTTCCAAACACTACTACAAAGACAATGTTACAGGGTTGCAGCCTTCTTGGTACTATACAACCAAGTAATAAGGTCACCTGGTACAGTGATTGACTATTGCAAATATATACAGGATGGAGGTGTAGTAGTTCACTTTACTACACAGCAGTAGGCAAACAGTTTGAGATAATAACAGTATATAGATTAACTTTTTATTAATAACACATGGTGACAACCTTGCTTGTAGGAATTATTCTAGAGGGGGAATATCACACTTTATAATTAAAAGATCATTATGTCTAAGTTAAAGTGTAAAAACTTTGAATTGGCAGAGAAGAGGAAAAGGTATCCTTTATATCTCTTTTTACCTAGTGGAGGTAGTGGAAGTTTGAGTGATATCTCTTGATACTGTACTTGAAGTAGTGGGGATTGTGCAGAGGCAAGTGGAGTTTGTACCGAGATAGTTGGGACAATGTTTATATGTATTTGTTATTTGTACTTAAAACACTTGGGGCATGTGTCAAGGTATTTGAGTCTGTGCAGGAACACTTAGAATTGTGCAAGGACATCTGAGGATTGTGTTAGGATACTTGAGGATTGTGAAAAGGATATTTGGGATTCTTGTACTGTGTTACTTGGCACAGTAAATTGTATTAGGATACATAAAACTTGTATAGGAGTACTTGAAGTTTTGTAAGACAATAATGACATCATAGATGTTACCCAATGTCATGTGTTTGTATCACACTTCTAACAGCCAATTAAAATCCTATTTTCTAACTACTATATACTATAATATTTTTTTTTTAATGTTAAGGTGAGTACATGTGACCCAGGATTTTACTGATAGTTTAAGTTAGCCAGCATCTGTACATATACAAACACAGAGGCAATTACAGAAAGAGTATACAACTAGCCACTTGTACAACTTTAGTCATTGTCTAATTTAAGTAGTCCACCTGAAGGTTCTACACTAGTTGCTATACCTAGAACCCATCTGTAGATCTTCTATTTAAACACTCTGATCCTGCATTCATCACATCTTACTAGTGACTTCAGTAAACTGGTAAAGATATGCTATAGTCACTAAGTTATGTTTAACTTTGTACTAAACCTACCAGTGCGTTCTGTATCCTATACTTATAGCTCACTCGGTCATGCTCTGGCCTAAACCATCACTTGCAGTCAAGGCTAACCATTAAACCACTTTTACCCTTGTAAGGTTCACCCAAAACCCTGATACTCATCTTTCCGACATCCTCTCTATTATCCCCTACTAACTGCTACTCAGGACTAACAAGACTTCTCGGACTTCTAATCCAGATGGCCCAATATAGTATACCTTAGTATCCTTTCCTCTGGTGATTCCAATGGCCTGGTTGGTCATATGCTCTTCTACACATCTTGCCATCTGGTTTATCCACCTATCCATTTGGGGGTGTTTCATGGGCTTCTATCAGTCCAACAGCATCGTCAAAAGTTTTGTGCTACCTTCTTACTCA